TCCTCTCTTCCATTCTCCTCTCGGGATCTTGGGCATACACGCACACGTGCCCGGCGTGAGTTTTAAGCCACCGGGTCCGGGACGCGAACCGCGGTCGACTACGTGGGAGTCCAGCGACATAGCCATTATGCTAACTGCTGGTTCCCTAGCTGAGGTTTCTAAGCCATTTTTAAAAATGACATTTTAAAAGCCCCTAATATCATATAGCGTCTGCATGTGTAACTTACTTTGTTAGGCTGGAGGCCTGGACAGCTTGGATGTGGAGGTTGGACGCCAAGCCAAAGTTGACTGATACTGTGGTATGCAGTTAGTCATGAGTGGGCAGCCCTAAGAGAAAAGCGAAAGGGCATTTTGGTCAATGCCCTAATTCCCACTAAGGTGATAAACTAATTAGGTAGTCTAAATTAAAACAACTTGGCTCACACTGGGCATGTGCAATTAGGTCATCAAATTCCTCATTCTCTACCTGTGGGAAAAGTGTGCAAGTGCAGGAGAGAAAGCAGGGGTTCAAATTCAAATGAAGGACATAGGTAGTGTAACAGACCTCCCACCAATGAATATTCATGACCTCTAGTAATAAAAATAACAATTAACCAGCACCAAATGCAGTTGCCCCCTGACAATCTGCCCACCCAAGAGCCTTTTGGGTGTACTTCATTTCTTTCCTGTTCTTTCTTATTAAATCTTTTCTACCTATTTTATTTGTGGTTGCGGTTTCATTTTGCACTTAGGGACAGATCTCTAATTTTAGTAATCTGGACCCAAAAAACCAAGGCCTTCACAATGCAGCTTGACACTCTCCCATCTGTTGACATTTTAACCTGTAACCTGGAACTAGCCTGTCATCAGACCTGTGCTGCACTGGGATCTAACCCAGATGTAGTAAGTGCACATGAGCTTAATTCTGCATGTGGCGCTCTGCTTTGCACATGGGACTCTACTCATGTCACCAGACATTACATGGCACAGCAGTCTGCTCTTCCCCTAATCCTTTGCCACACATGGAGTATGTCTACCTCTAAGACACTCCCTCTCCCTATACCCTTATAAAAATCACCTAACCCCACCCCTAATGGGTGACTTCTTTGGCCCATCTCTTCCTCTCTTTTGGGCTAGCAACCCTCGCCTGGGAGCGCTCCCAATAAAGGCTCTACATTTCTATTTTCTCACATGGTCGGCCCATTCCTTACAACTTAATGATCCAAGACTTCAGTGCTAAAGATTTTCATGATTGTGATTTATATTTGAAGCTCAATTCATTGAGACACTAAATGTCAAACTAAAATGAAAGGTAAAACTCATATCTAAAAAGGATGCTACATTTTGCAGTAATATTTCAAGGCTAAGACCTATTACCTCAAAAAAAGCAAAATTTAAAGAACAAGCATATAACTATCTAGCAAAAATCACTTTCAACATTTCATTAATTGCAAAATTGATTTTATTGCAGTGAAAACAGTGGAATTAACTGTAAATAATAAATTATATATATATATGTGAATGTATATACATACACACACACACACATATATATACACACATTTTAAATTATAGGGAATAAAGTCTATTTTGGCAGGTAATATTTAACAAAATTAAAGTTGCAAACATTAGTAACAAAACTCATCCTTAACTTGGTGTAAGTGTGACACATTTTCTTGCTTTCCTGGGTTCTGCTAAATCACCATACCTAAACTGCTTTTTAAAACTGACATACTGAAATTTAACTTTATGGTTTTCGCTTACACTCTGATTCCAAACGAAACTTTTTATAACTTTGTGTCTGGATCTATCTCATCACCAATATCATACAAGTGTGGATCGCCAGACCCTGATAAATCTGTTCCATTTTCTTCACAATCTGGAAAAACATCCTCTCTTTCAAGTAATTCTTTATATTTCTCTTGGTAACCTGGGTCAGGTGCAGTAAAAGGAACACCATCAAATGTACAAAATGTTGGTTCATTCATAAAGTAGTTAGGATCATTTTCAGCTGTTGCTTCTAAGAACTCTAAGAGCATGTTTCACATCTCTGCTGCAGTTTGCATCTATGACAACATTTTCAATTCTCTGGATAACTTCTTCCATACCAATCTTTCCATTTTTCTTCCAAGCATCTTCCAAAACTGCCTCTGTCAACCTCAATAATCTCACTGCATAAATTCTCATCCAGCAGATTAGAAAAGAGGGTATTCGGTAACTCTTGAAGACCAACCAGAATATTAATTAGCTCTTGTAACCTGTCCATTTGTTCCCTTGATCTCCAGGTGAAGACAAAGTTCTCCTGGAAAGAGTACAAACACATGAAATCATTTCCAGGTCACTCCATTCCCTTTCGTAGTTTCACCTTTAACTTTATATTCAGTCTGACATCTTTGAAGTAGCAATTGGTGAAAGTTGCCACTCTGAGTTAATTGTCAGGTGATGGGACAGGTAATTTCAGAGGCGAGTTCCCATGTAAGAAAAATCTAGGATAGATGTGGCCTGTTGATAGATGAGTTCCCCAAGTTCTTACAAACCATCAAGTGTTGTAGAGTGTTACTGAATGAATGACCACCAAAGTCAGATTAAGTTTAAAGAGAGTCTTTATTAGTCGGCCAGCAACTACAGCCTTTTTGAGCCGCCCAGCACCTCCAGCCTGAGGCTCAGGGGCCAAGAGTCAGAACTGCAGCCCCAACCGAAGTCTGAGTAGCCTTTTTATAGGGGGTCAGTTATCAGGGGCTCTTATGTAAGTAGTTACAGACGTTTAATCAAGTAGGTTAATTCTTTTTGAGAGGAGTAGGGTTTTTATGTAAGCAGTTATACTGTCAAACAAAAGGGTTCAGGGATAGTTAGTAAAGACAGTAGTAGGTACAGGATCTCATCCCGGATATAGTTTTTTGTATGGCTAGTACAAGTTATTTTTTCTTATAAAAAGAGCAAGTAGGTTTGTAGAAACAGACAGTCATGTTAGGGTAAGAAAATAAAATAGACGAACATTCATTTAAATGTAAGATTTAATATGTGGCCTTCTACATCATCTGTTATAACCCGGCCATTTAGGGTCCCTGCAAACTGTTCAATTTCAGTTTCAAAACTGCGAGGTGGCTCTGTGAGAGCAGTGTCTGAAAACACTGATTTACTCAGTGTCTCAGGAAAGAAGTGTGAGCAAGATTTATTTTTCTAGACAAGAAAGATTATTGCCTTATGGGTCTTATTTTAAGAACAAATATAAATCAAAATTAGATAATATGAATCGAAATTAGATTCTGCTTTATGAATCCATGAGTTTGAACTGGGGTCAGGACTGGGATAATCACAGCTAGGGGCAGGAGGAGGCAGACAAATAGAGCAGAATTTCAGCTCAGATTTATTTAAAACAAGCAGTTATGGGATTCTTCTCTGCAAGTTCTAGCATATGGTTTTTTAGAAAGAGATGGGGAGATGGAAAACACAATCCATGGAACAGCCCCAGAAGGGCCAGAGCTGGATGAGTCTGAAAATCCATCTCTTGATACCACAGACCCTGTGAGCTGGGGCTACCTGGGCCTCATGGGGACAATGACAGGAAAGTGACTCCTGCTGCTGTCAGAGAAGAAGGACACTCAACTTGTACATGAGAATAAGAACACAGAGATTCCTTCACAGAAACAAAGAAAGAACAAATACACCAAGTGGAAGGCAAGGGCTAGACACACAGGTCCTTCAGTGTCCAAGTCCTGGAGATGGGACAAGGCACAGGTGATGTTTGAATCCCTGTGATGACAGGTCCAGGTGAGACAAGGTTTGACTAAGAGAACAGGATAAAGCAGCAGCAAAGGTGACCCAGAGGAACGATCACTCTAAACCCACAATGGACGGAGCACCGATTGTCCATGGCTCAGTGCACATCTGGCACCTTGCAGCCTCTTCCTGTCCCCACCACAGCAGACCCAGCATAGCAAACACAGTCTGGGCGGCTCACAGGTTTTATTTCCTCTCCTGAGTTGTGAAAAGCTTCTTTAGTTTATCCATGGATGACTTCTAATAGCAAGAATTTGAAAAACAAAACAATATCCAAATTCTTATTTTCAATAAGGAAGAAGGAAGCTGCAGCTCAGTGCAACACAAAGGGGAGATGGGGGAGAGACGTCCCGTCCTGCCTCTCCTAGAACAGGAAAGCTGGTCGAAGGGGAGATGGGGGAGCGGCGTCCAGTCCTGCCTCTCCTAGAACAGGAAAGCTGGTCAGGGCAGAGGGTACAGGGCAGGGGGGGGGGGGCAGTGCTCAGGGACTGGCTGAGCCCCTGTTTCCTCACATTAGGATGCAGGAAAACAGACATGTAGACTTGTTCACATCAGTTGCAGGAAGAGCAGCCGGGGCTCCTGATGTCACAGTGGTGGGTACAGAGACTGAGCAATCCCAGGTCACTCTGTTCTCACAAGGCTGCTGTCTCACACTACAGAGGGAGAGAATCACGAACAACTCACGTCAGTCACTAACAGGAACCTCTGATGAGGCCTTCACGTGCTCAACATGTCCTAATCCAGAGTCCTAACAACCTCTCTTCCCCATCCTCTCCTGCCTCAGCCCTGCAGGGTCTTACCCTTAGGAGCTGTGAGAGACACATCAGCGCCCTGGACACTGTCGCTGCCTGGGGGGGACAAACACAGGGCCTGGTCAGAGCCACAGAGGAGGAGCTAGAGGAGGAATACGGCAGGTGGCCCCCTGGGCTCCTGTCTGTGCTGTCCCAGGGGTCAGGTCACCCCTCCCCCTCTCATACTCACAGGCAGCCTGACCATAGTTTCTTCCTGTGAGGGGGAAAAAAAACACCCTGTGAGAAATAGGTGCATGAGGTGCCAAGGATCCAGTAACCCTGGACCCTAGAGAAGTTTAGAGAACTCTGATTACAGACCCAGGGTGGAGTCAGGGAATGTGAGGATGGAGATGTGGGAGGGGGACCAGCAGCCCGCCTGGAGGACCGTCCTCGGCAGGGACTGTCCCTGTGACCTCTGACTGCTGGGAACCAGGTCCCCAGCACCACCACCAGGTGACAGGCGTGTGACTGGTTGTCACACTTTACAGAGGAGTGAGAAGCCTCAGCACAGAGGCCCTCAGCCTGGGCAAGCATGTGTGCATGGTGGCACCTCCCAGTCACCAGGCAGGGCACCGTCTACTGGGACAGGACAGCTCAGACCTCCCATTCTTACCTGAGCTCCTCCTCCAGATCACAATGGCTCCTGTGACCAGAACTCCAAGGAGAACCAGGCCAGCGATGATTCCCACGATGAGAATGGGTGACTGAGGACGCGGCTCTGGGAAGGGAGGAGAGGGGAGGTGAGGGCCCTGACCCCCAGGCCTCAGTCCTGACCCTGCTGAGGTCTCAGGAAGGGCTCCTGCTTTCCCTGACAAGAGCTCTGAGCCCCCCTTACCCCATCTCAGGGTGAGGGGCTCAGGCAGCCCCTCGTGCTGCACGTGGCACGTGTATCTCTGCTCCTCTCCAGAAGGCACCACCACGGCCGCCCACTTCTGGAAGGTTCCGTCCCCTGCAGGCCTGGTCTCCACCAGCTCCATGTCCTGGGTCTGGTCCTCCCCATCCCGCTGCCAGGTCAGGGAGATCTCCGCAGGGTAGAAGCCCAGGGCCCAGCACCTTAGGGTGGCCTCACGGTCAGAGGTGGGGTGGTGGGTCACGTGTGCCTTTGGTGGTTCTGCGGGTAAGAGTCCGGAATTCAGACATGGTGCAGCCCCTCCCACTGCCCTGTGAGACCATCTGAACGAGGACAGCAGGACTGGGTTGCTTAGGGATTCCACTAAGCCTGGCTCAGGTGTCTGGGGGGATCTACTCCTGGGAAGGTTGTGGATTCAGAGTGAATAGCGCCGGGTAGGATCTAGGTCTCTGGGGGGGAAACTGGGACTTGTGATCCTGATGTGAATGGAGGGGACTCAGAGTATCTGGAGTCAGCTCTCAGGTGGGGCCGAGATCAAGGCTTGAGCGGTTCTGGTGGACAGAACCATTGCCAGAGTCACTGCACAGTGCTGACGGTGACTTCAGAACTGTCCCCAGTGTATTCCCAGAGACTGGACACTTCCTGAGAGGAGGGGCATCTGGGGGAGTCAAACTCTGGTGCAGGATCTGAAAACTCTCCCTTCGAGATTTGAGGGGGTTTATTTTGTGGTGTGGGACAGGACAGGAGATCTGGGAGACGGCCCGCAGCCCCTGACACCTGCGCGCTGCAGCGTCTCCTTCCCGTTCTCCAGGTATGTGCGGAGACCAGGCACGCATATCCAGTCCAGGTAGGCCCTGAAGTGCTGAGCCCTATCCGCCACCTCCCACTCGCGCTGGGAGATCTGGGCTGCTGTGTCGGCCGCGGTCCAGGAGCG